CTGCGAATACCTCACACTGCTCTCTAACCCTCAGATATGTTTTCCTCTGAGATGGTGTGATCAAATGAGAAGCTGAAGACTTCTATTTATAGGAAGAAACGCCGTAACTCTTAACTAATCAGCTGTTGGTTTCCTGTAACTTGAAATTTGCAATTTGCAAATCGAGAACCAAAATTTTGGCGTGTGTTTCCTCCTTTTTGTTTTTTTGATGGGGATGGACCCCACAGTAATTTGCTTTCGAAAAATAAACTCTGGAATCTTAAATAAGTGATAATAGAAATATAAAAGAAGCAGAAATAAATCGGAGCTCACTGAATTTATAGTATGTCCTTAAGGAACTTAGTCCCCTCCTACTACCTGAGGTTTAAGATTATTTTCTTCCAATATAGAACGGATTAACCATACTAGTGTAGCGGTACTTCAAACCCCAGTGTACAACGAGTACATATAGCGGTAGCAAATCACACTTACTTTGTTGTTGTAAAAAAATAATACAGAAAGAAGAGATTTCAGAAAATTCGTAAGGAAAATCTTAGAGAATGATCAGAAATTTATTGCCGAACGTTTGGCTTGAATGAAGAGGTACAACTCAAAAGTTGCAGCCTTTCAGGTGACCTTTCGCGAAAATGGCTATTATGTAAAGGGCTATTCGGCAAAAATAAGACAGAAAATAAACCGAGGAAAAATTAAATTACCGTTACCGAAATGGTTGATTTGGATTAAAAATAAATATAATCTTAATATTAACAAATAAATTTGGTCAAAAAAATTAATTAATCAATCATATCATTCATTATTTATCCAAATTCAAATCCAAGCCGAACAAGCAACAACGACACGAGGCTTGACTTATTCTGAACTCTTTAAGAGTTAGAAGAAGCGCATTTGTAAATATACCCAACAAATATTTTTTTCCCCTCCAATATTGGACAATATTTCTTTGTAAAGAGAACTTCAATTTTTTTTCGTTTTTCCTTCATTTACCATACATACCATTTTAAGCTAAAACCCAACAGTGTAATCCCTTTTCCTCTATGTAAAACAATTGGTTCTTTATAAAATTGTCACTTCTCGACTGTTATAAAATTGTCGTCCTAATTTTCCATTTGATCACAGTGATTTGGCCTCCCATTTTCTTGCTTTAAAGCATAATGTGCTAATCTTTCAAAAGTTTCCATTGCATGTGACAATAATATTTCTTGGCTTAAATTGTTCTTATAGAAGGTTTGCAATGCAAAACGATGCAATAAGATATTTAAGTTAAAACTATAAGTTATGGATATTTTTACAATTAAATAATTACAAATTACATAATATTTACACGCACTTGGAGTTGGTCAAATTATACTGAACTTAAACAAAGAATCGGTAATTCTCTTGGAATTAGTCAAATTATATAGAAAATGACTACACACTTTTTCATTGTCCGTAAATAAAATGTCAATATAAATAAATATGGTTGACGGAAGAAGTCTTTTTCTTTTTCTCTTTCTTTTAATAGAGAGAATTGGAGAGGAAAAGAAGTCACCACAAAATGTTATTATAAAATTGATAGTATCCTCTACATTTAATAGATTTCGATTTCGTTTCTTGAGAATCAACAGAAAAATAAGAAAAAGTGTTCATTTTTAATAAGCTTATACAGTATAATTATAAATTAATCAAGTCCAAAATCGAATAATACAAAATGTGAAAAAAAAAAAAAAAAAAAAAAAAAAAAAAAAAAAGGAAGAGTAGTGGGCCCAGGTGAAGTGCCGGTCCCGTGAGGCGTGAGGTCCTTGACCGAAGAAGAAGCAAGCACCCGTTATTAGTCTCGAGTAACAGGAAATCTTCCAGAAAAGAGGACGTCATCGCAAACGTCACACAAACAGACAAATAAACTTGCCTTTTTTCTGAACAAGACTTAGGTTTTATAAGAAAAAAATAAACACAAAATTTCGTTTTACACTTCATCGCGAACGTCATTTTCGTTGGATTTGATTTCTTAGTTCAGCCAAGAAGTGAGCTCTGACTGCTCCGCAGCCCGTGGGTCAAGCTTCCGTTTAAGGAACACAAATTTTTTGCTTATAATAGTATAAGAGTATAAGTTATATGGATTGATAGTATAGTTATTTTTCACACTTATAATTTAATCTTTTATAATGAGTTATTTTTAATTTATTTTAGATTATCAGTTAATCTCATTATAAGACGTTGTGAGACAAAGAGAGAAATGTAAGGAGCCAACCCCAGTGCAAAAGGATTGTATTGGGCTAACCTATGGTGCATCGGTTGTTATGCCAATAGTATCGCCGATCAGCTAAATTGGTACGGAAAAAATACTGTGCTGCGGGAAATCTTTCTTTATACTAGTTTTCGATATTTTCTGTACACGTTATCTTTGAGTATTTTACTCTCTTTCAAGGAGATGACTATTCAAACCTCTGAGTATTAGTTAAAATTCCATATCTTCCTTAGAACAAACTGAGCTCTACATTTCGATGTATGTGTTTTCACTTGTAATTACTTTTTTAGTTAATCTTATTTTCTAAATATTTTTTACACGATAAATGTAATAAAACTTAAATTCTTATACATAATAATTAATCGTGACTAAACAATAAAAATATAAACATACAAACGGCCCTTTTTGCATAAAATGGTTTTCTTAAAATTTTGTACAATAATTGGTAATTGAAGGAATAACAAGTGATAGGGTCGAAGCATTGATAGGACTTCGTTTCGAAAACGTACACGCAAAACGTGAATTCCGGCTTCAAATATGGTGACATTCTGGTGAAGTTGACCAATAACTATCGTTTCCGATCACATCATATGATAGTTTTAGAAGAATTAACCTAAATAGCCGTTTACCTAATCATTTTAACTAAAAATTGACGATAAATATATAATATATGTATATCGTATATAATTTATTAGCGTTTGAACATAAATTTGGTTGAAACTTGAAAAAATAAATTTTTAAAAATGCGATGAATGATTTTTGAAATTGTGTTTGGACTTGCATTTTACTTGAAAAGAATTTAAAGTTTTGTGAGTAGAAAACTTCAAAAAGTACAAAAATTACTCTAGAGTTTTTTTTGGGATTTGAAGATTTTATTTTCAAATTCTACCAAAAAATAGTAAAATCTATAAACAAACGGATATTTAAAAGTAAAATTTGAAAAAAAGCTCTCAAATTTTATGGACAAACAGAAGTTCGGCGTATAATTTATGTATTTCGATAAAAAAAACGGTAAATCCAGCCGCCCATTCATGTATGGTGTTCATAATTTGTACTAAGCAAATAAAAAGACGACATATGCTTTGAAACCAGTATTTTAAAAGGCGTGGGCGTAAGGCGAGACGTTTTACATATGTCTCAGCGAGGCGTAAGCCCCGAGACACGGGGCGTAAGCCCCATAGGTATTTAATTTTTAATATTTTATAAAATAATATAATGACAGTAAATATTTATAAATAGGTAAAATTGCATAAAAATTGAAGAAAACTATATATATACTCCATCCCCACAAAAAACTAATCAAAACTAATCTATTATACGCTACTTACAAGCACACGTAATTTGAATATAAAAGAATAAAGTTTTATATATAGAGCAACAAAAATGATGATTAACCTGCAATTTGAACTTTGAACTTGCTGCTACGAAGGAAAATGTAGTTCTCTTTGTATTTGTAGAAAAAATTAAATATTCGTTTCTTTTGGGAGATATTAGCAGATTAGCGGACAAGATAAAAAATTGGAAAAGACCATGAATTAGGGCTTCAATCAATAAAAAAAGTTTTGATTTTTGAATTTAATACTTTTGAGTTCCTTTTTAAACCTTTTGAGTAATTACCGAACTGACTTTTGAGAATTTGGGTATTATATGAAGGACTTATTCAACAAATTTTATTTTAATTTGAAAAAGTCTTTAGGGCTTACTTCTCACTAAAAAAACACGCCTTGAACGCCCGGGCGTACACCCTAAATTGAGACTTTCGCCCCACACCATTGCCCCGAAGCATTTTTGATAAATCTCGCCCGAAAACACCTTTTAAAACAGTGTTTGAAACTAAAAGCATGTGTTTACCAAATGGTTTGTGCGTCAGACATCAGTGAGTAATATTTTACCACCGACTAGTATTATTATAAAATTATAGGTAAGTTGCTAAGTACACTAAATTCAAGCTATATTACTTGAATCAATCAAATACTTATCCTTTACCAAAGATTCAGCGAGACTCGAAATATTATTTTAATCTATACTATAGCCCAATATCAATAATGTTTTTCATCTATGTAGATTCCTAGAACTTGTCAAATTTTTTTTTGTTTAGGTTAATGAGTTACGCGTAATAAGTAAAACAAGACTAATCATTTAATTATTTGTGTTGCGGCTGCGCTCCTAAGATGTAGAAATCATGCGTCCCCACAGGGCATTTTAGAAGAATATCCATCTTCCCTTGCCAAAAGTCGCGAAAGAAATCAATTTTAATTCCCACATCTTCAACTTTTTCGTATTAGAATATATGTAACACAGTTATTTAAGCAAAGCATCCAAATATATATTTAATAATATAAAGAATCTTACAATCCGTGTACGTTAACCTTATTTAACATATTATTAATTAAATTTACAGATAATAAATTTTTAAATAAAGATAAATATATTTTGAACAGCTCCAAAAATAATAACCGATAAAATATATATTTTTGTATATATTTGTATTATATACATATAATCTACATATTTTATACATTTTTGACTAGCGAATATAATCAATTTCGGCCGACGAATTAATTATATTTTGCCCCAAATAAAATGATGCCCTTTCCTCAAAATAAGAACGAAATATCATCAAAATTTATAGCTTGGGATCAAATTTTCCTTTTTCTCCTTGATTCTCCAAAATAATGGAAAAAATAAAAAATAAAAGACAAAAAAGGGAATAGAGGAATAGTTCACTCAATTCAATAACATTCGACCATTAGCATAGGCATATCCACTATTTTCGCTCTTATATATTTGTCCATCTTCTTCGCCACATATTCTCATTCTTCATTTCTATGTCCACGAATTTTATCGGATCACAACTATTCCTTTTAAAACCTGCTTTTTCTCACAACAATCTCTCAACTTTCACCATGGCCGCTTGTATTCACTCTTCAAGAACCAAAACTCCTCCTACAAATCCACTTTCTCGCGATCCAAACAAGCCCCAAATCGACAATCATGTCTATAACTACGTTAAATTCTGTCGACCCAGTTTCCCTGAGCTTGTTTCTTGCGCACCCATTCCTGAAAAGAACTCCAAAATCGGTCGTAACGAAGAGGAAGACGATTTGTGGCTAAAAATGAAAGATGAGGCTAGATCAGACATTGATCAAGAACCCATTTTGTCTACTTACTACATAACTTCAATCTTGGCTCATGATTCTATGGAAAGGGCTTTAGCTAATCATCTTTCAATGAAATTGAGTAATTCAAGTCTTCCTAGCAGCACTTTGTATGATCTTTTCCTAGGGGTGCTCACAGAGGATTGCTCACAAGATATAATTAAAGCTGTTATAGCTGATTTAAGGGCAGTTAAAGAAAGGGACCCAGCTTGTATTAGTTATGTACACTGTTTCTTGAATTTTAAAGGGTTTTTAGCATGTCAAGCTCATAGGATTGCACATAAATTATGGTCAAATGGTAGGCAAATTTTGGCACTTTTGATACAAAACAGGGTATCTGAAGTTTTTGCTGTCGACATACATCCTGGTGCTAAAATTGGTAAAGGGATTTTACTTGATCATGCTACTGGAGTTGTCGTTGGTGAAACTGCTGTGATTGGAAATAATGTGTCAATTTTGCATAACGTGACATTGGGTGGAACTGGCAAAATATCTGGGGATAGACATCCTAAAATTGGTGATGGGGTTTTAATTGGTGCTGGAACTTGTGTTCTTGGAAATGTTATAATTGAAGATGGAGCTAAAATTGGGGCAGGGTCCGTGGTGCTGAAGAAAGTTCCGGCGAGGACTACCGCCGTTGGGAATCCGGCGAGGTTGCTCGGAGGGAAGGAAAATCCAAAGAAACTTGATAAGATTCCTAGTTTGACCATGGACCATACATATGAGTGGTCTGATTATGTAATTTAGAGTAATAACAACTTTTACTTTGTTTACTACTGTTTTAGGTTTTTATTAGATTAGTGAAACGAAGGGAATTCTTGGCGTAACGATAAAGTTGCTGCTATGTGATTAGAAGGTTACGAGTTCGAACTGTAGAAACAACCTTTTGCAAAAAATACGGGTAAGATTGCGTACAATAAACCCTTGTGGTCTGACCCTTCTTCAGTCCCGCGCATAGCGGGAGTTTATTGCACCAAAATGTCATTTTTATTAGATTAGTGAGATGCCCCTCGAGGAATTTTAGTTGCAGGGAGAATATTTCCTTGAGTGGAGATGTTGTACAAGCCATTTACTTCTATGGTAACTGGTTTATATTAAGAGATTATTGTACTAGATTTCTTGCTAGAGTAAACGGTTCAAATGCAATCTGACTAAGATTGAGCTTCTTACAATTCATTGTTGGATGAGAATATGTATATCATCATTTTGGCATGGAAATTAATAGGTATGTGACTCATAGGAATTGCAAGTCAAAGGTGGATCTCGGGCGGATTTGGTAAGTTCAACCGAACCCATTGTTTTTGGTTTGAACTTGTACATGTGCAAAAATAAAAATTTCAATATAACCCCATAATAAGATCTTATTTTAGAATCTACTAACTCTAAATTATGAATTTGCCTAAAGGTAAGATTGATGCTTATGACCAAACTTCCCTCTTTGTTCTTTCCCCTTCCAAATTTAGGTTTGGCAGTGTGGTAATATTTGCAGATAAATGTATATACATCTTAACACACTATTTTCTTCTTTTCCTACAATGGAATTTGTAACACAAAAATTTCAAATTTAGGTTTGGCATTGTGTAAATACTTGCAGATCCCATAATTTGGGTGAGACCCCTTTGTTCCACTATCCTCGAATTCACTTTCCCTTTGGAAAAATTTGTCGAAATGCAGCATGGCCAAGTACATATGTTTTAAGTTGGAAAAAAATGAAAAAGAGATGAAGCTAGCGATATCTTTTTCCACTTTGACATATCCTCTGATCTCTTTATTCTCGTCGTGCTCCGGCGAGTTCTGCATCTTTAGGTGGATTAAAATTTAAATTTGATGGGTTTAAACTTTAACGTTTTCTCAATTGAATACATTGCACTTCAGAATTTATGGGTTTATAATTTAGTATTTGCTGATTTTATGATATTACCTATATATTTATGTTCCGGATCAAAATTATGGTATCAGTGTCTGTATCTAGCTCTCTGTAAATCAGTGGGGACAAATAAAAACTTGTGCCTTAATTTGTACATAGTTTCTGGAATCTTGAATGTGGCACTGAGATGTAGACACCTCGACATTTTATTCAGAAGAGGTTAGGTCTCTTGATTTTAACAGGCGTAGTAATTTCATTCTTCTGCTCTTAGCTAGTAGTAGTGTAAGTGTATTGGTGGAAAAAAAACATATCACGTGGACAATCAGTAAGCTGACGGGACATGATGTGTGGAACATCGATATAGCGACATGTGGCACTCTCAATTAGGTGAATTAAGAATGCAGAAAAGGCACGGGAGAAACAGCCACGGGGTAACGTAGAAAAAAGAAGCGGGCCTGACAGCTGTCAAGGAAGAAACAGGAATGAAATGAATGAAGGTTGCAAAGAAGGGAAGATACATGAACCAGAAGTAATAAGAAAGGGGAATCAGAGCAGTTACAAGGAATCTTTAGTTATAAATATGCCAGTTACGGTTACCTACGGTAACGGACAATCAATACAATTAATATCATTAGTGAGCCTAAATTAAACGTGGGAACCGTTATAATTATATACTCAAATATAAAGGCAGAAATCCCATTTGTAAGGGGAGGTTACGATTATTACTGAAATACATATTATTATTTTTTGCTTTACTCTTCAAGTTTTAAGCCTTGATTTTGGGGAGTGATTGTCAGTTCATCTCTTATTTTTCTTTATCAATCGTTTCCATTCTTTGATCTATTTTCCCTAAAATTGCTGGGAAAGTAAAGTAAATATTGGTTATCAGTAACCCGTTTTCTTTTAAATATTGACTTTGACCGAAAAATCTATTTTTGGTTAAACAAATTGGTTCCGTTACCGAAAATCTGATAATCTTTTCACTTTCCAAATTATATTTTTTGGCAACCAACTATGTCAACTGTTAACGAAAATAACATGCTGAACCAACAAGGTGGAACTCCACCACACCACTCACCAACGAGATTTCCTCAGCAATCCCGTGGAGGTTCACCTGGAAGGTCTACATCACGCGCTGATGATCAACAAGGAGATGAACAAATCGTAGAGCAAGATGTACTAAAGTAATTGATTGCGGAACATGTGAATAGTGCACTGCAAGCTTTTATCAGAGGATTGCCCAATGCGCCACAAACTCCTCCACCAGTCAATACAACAACCTTAGAAAACCCGCACGAGGGGCTTGACAATTCTGGAAGTGGAGAAATTCCTAATGAATCTCGTGATGGGGGGTCAAGTACACCAAATAATTCTAATTTATAAAGTTTAGTGCTAACTTTGCAGAAACAGTTGAAGGAACAGAATATCGTATATAGCAGATACCAGGCGTACCACCCGTAATCAAAGGGGTAGATATTGACTAGTATTCACAATAACCGTAGAAGCCAAGTGCAACACCTTTACCAATTCCTAAAAGGTTTAAAATGCCTGATATTCTCAAATATGATGGAACAACTGACCCTCGAGATCATGTAACTGCATTCACTACTGGCGTGAAAGGCAACGATTTAACCAAACAAGAAATCGAATCGGTTTTGGTCAAAAAGTTTGGTGAAACATGCATGAAGGGAGCATTAACATGGTATTCTCTTTTACTTGAAAATTTAATTAATTCTTTTGATGAGCTTGTAGATTCAGTTATAAAAGAACATTCGGGAGCTCAAAAAGTTGAGAAAAGGATGGAAGACATCTTTAAGGTTAAGCAGGGTAATACATAATTGCTCAGAGAATTCATAGACAGATTCCAGCGGGAGAGGATGATGTTACCTCGAGTACCTGACAACTGGGCGGTTATGGCATTCGCGAGCAACTTGAACGAGAAAAGTTCAAAAGCCATGAGAAGGGTGAAGGAAAGTTTATGAGAATTTCCAACAACAACTTGGAACGATGTGTACAGTAGGTACAGTACGAAGTTGCGGATAGAAGAGGATACGGTCGCACAACCAAAGGCCGATGAGAGCAGGATCAAGACGTGCAGAATCAGAAAAAAGATCCGGTAAAAATAGGTATGAGTCGTACATGGGACCTGTTGGGCGAGCCTCCCGATCTAAACAGGAAAGCGCACGATTTGACTCAAGACCAAGGATGCCCGAAGCAATGATTCCAATACGCAAGCGAGGATAGGAGCTTACGGCTTTAATATCATCACCTCCGAGTTAGTAGTTATTTTAAGAGGTATGGGAGATAATGTGCGATGACCTAAAGCAATAAGATCAGATCCAAGTAGAAGAAATACAAATTTCTGGTGTGAGTTTCATAACGATCATGGCCATAGAACAACAAATTATAGACTTCTACAAGGAGAAGTCGAGCATCTGTTGAAGCAAGGTTATCTTATTGATTTGTTCAGTGAGAAAGGAAGACAATCATATATGAAGAGCAGACAAGAGCCCCCAAAACCTCCATCACCAAAAAGAACAGTCAACGTAATAACTAGGGGGAGATGAGGTCAATGGAGTAACATATACAGCTGCAAAAAAGATGTCAAAAGTCACAGTTACTCTTGGGAAGCGAGTTCGCCAGGTCTTGGATGGTGACAGTATAACATTCGATGATGAGGATGCATACGCCTTGATAATTCCTCACAACGATGCATTGGTAATATCTTTACTTGTACATGACACTAACGTAAAATGAGTTTTGATTGATCCGGGTAGTTTAGTGAACATTATTTTATTGAGGGCGGTGAATGAAATACAAGCTAATGATAAGGTGATACCACAAGCGCGGTCCTTGTTCAGGTATGATAATTCAAGCGTTATCACAAAAGGGGAAGTAGTACTCACCACATTTGCAGAAGAAGTTTTCAAAGATACAAAGTTTCAGGTGATAGACACGGACATGGCCTACAATATAATTCTGGGAAGATCGTGGATTCACGATATGGACGTTGTCTAAAAGACATTACATTAAGTTATCAAATTTCCTTCACAATGGAGAATTCATCAAATCCATGGAGATCAGAAAGCTTCAAGATGTATCAACTCAGTGGTGATTGCAAGCACAGTAGCCAATGATGCAGACGCGAAATAGCAACTACATAATTCGTTTGAGGACTTTGCTACAAAGACCTCAATTGAAGACATACCAGGACAGACTGATGTCGATTCGAGACCCGATGTTATTCAAGAGCTACAAGAGAATGAAAATATTAAGACAACTACTGAAGAGCTCGAAGTTGTAACGCTATTTGTACACTGGCCAGACAGAAAAGTTTACATTGGAGCAAATTTAAGCCCAGAAATGAAAGGTAAGTTAATTGAATTTTTACGAGCTAACGCGGATTACTTTGCTTGGTCGTACTCAGATATGACAGGTATACCACTGGAGGTGATGACCCACAAGCTAAATGAGGATCCATTATACCCACCTGTCAAGCAGAAGAAGAGGAAGCAAGGATTCTTCAAAAATCAAGTGGTCCATGATGAGGTACAAAAGCTTTTAAAAATTGGGTCAATACGAGCGGTAAAGTACCCTGACTGTTTAGCTAATACCGTAGTAATTCCCAAAAAGAATGAAAAGTGGCGAGTTTTTGTAGATTATACTGATTTAAATAAATCTTGTCCTAAAGATTCATTTTCGTTATCGCATATAGATCAACTAATTGATTCTACCGCAGGACATGAACTTTTGGGGTTTTTTAGATGCATACTCAGGATATAATCAAATAAAAATGGACCCTATAAATGAAGAAAAAATTTCGTTTATCAAAAACAGTGGGACTTATTATTATAAAGTCATGCCATTTGGCTTGAAAAACGCTGGAGCCACATATCAAAGATTGGTGACTAAAATATTTCAAGAATATTTGGGAAAAATAGTGGAAGTCTACATTGATGATATGCTAGTCAAATCAGCACAGGCGGGAGATCATTTTCAATACTTGTCAGACACTTTTGAGATTCTCCACAAATATAATATGAAGCTAAATCCGGAAAAATATGCTTTAGGTGTGGCTTCAGGTAAGTTTTTAGGATTTTTTTTCTAACAGAGGTATTGAAGTGAAGCATATGCAGATAAAAGCTATCGAGGAAATACCAGATATACCCACGAGCAAGAAAGAAGTGCAGAGATTAACAGGCAAGATAGCAGCCCTGAGGAGGTTTATATCAAAAGCATCAGAGAAGAGTTTTAAATTCTTTTCAGTATTGAAAAAACATAATCAGTTTGAGTGGACCGATGAGT